GGAGGGTGGGGAAATGATGGAGGAGGTGGGGAACTGAGCTGAGGTCTCAAAAGTAAGATGAGGAGAAATTGGATGCTATGCAGACAGGGAAATGGTTGTGCCGGAAGGGCTGGTGGAGAGACAGGATGGCTACATGTGGGTCAACCTAAACAGTATGTAGTAGCCTAAAAGGCAAGGAGTTGAGGAAACAATGGGTGATGGACATGAAGAGTCAAGGAGGAAGAGAGACTGGAGCAAAGCTAGAAAGCAAGCCTAGGCTCATCAACTATTTCCAGGAAGCAAATGGTCAGGTAAGAGGAAGAGACATGGTGGCTTAGTGGTAGAGCACATGCTTTGCATGCAGAAGGTCCCAAGTTCAATCCCCAGCATTTCCTCCAGATAGGGGCTGGGAAAGACTCTGCCCACTATTGGCTGTGGGCTTCTAAATTGAGAACATTTTGTGATGTTGTGCTTCTCCTCTGGGCTCACAATGGAGCAATCACAATCCTTGCAGTGCAACATGGTAACAAATCGCTGAACCCGCCAGCACAAATGGACCACTGGAAAATGCCTTTTGATTTCAGTGGCTGAAATTTTCAGTCTCCCCCAAGTTTGTACAGGTCTGCCTCATTCATCTCTGCCATGTGCTTCTGGAATAGGCCTGTCTCTCTGTCGGGCGAGTCAGGTTTCACCCTGACCTGCTTCCCTGCCTACAACATTCTCCTGGCGCTGAGTCAGGCAGGCAGACGGGGCTGGATAGAGTTTCGCAGGAAACCTTTGCCTCTTATGCAGGGATGCACTGATGGAGGAGAAGTGGGATCAGGGTAAGCTGGCCACAATTCAGAGTGCAGCCACAATTACGTGGTAGACAGAAATTCAATAGGTTCAGACAGAAAGATGCTGTTAATGGCATGAGTTCCAGGTCTGGGACTTTTGCCTCTTGTGTAGGTTCCCCCCCCCCCTATTTAAAGCACAGAAGCCCAGCAAAAACAAAGGGCGAGGTAATACAGAAAAACTTAGCATCTGAACAGCCTCTGCTCAGAACTTTCTGTTTCAGGAGTTCCTGTGCTCAGATAAACAAGCTGGGCACTTTGCCATCCTACCTGCAAAACATGGATGGGTGGAGGAAGGATCTCACGTGGATTAGGTTGCCACATTTTATTGGCCTTGCCTCTGGGTCTTTAACAGGAGCTTGATGCACACACACACACCAAGCTTCAGTTGCTTAAATTTCTGTGTGTCAGCTTGCTGTTGAAGGCTCAGGAGTACAGCCAATACCAAAAAAAATGTGACAATTCCTGCCCCTTGTGCATTGCCAGAGAGCTCCTTGAAGTTGCTGTTCTCCATCCTGAAAGCCACGGAGACTCGAGTGGGAGGAGTGAACCACTGCCAGTTAGGAAAAGGTCACCTGCACACCTGCACAGAAGGCAGCAGCTGCTATTCCTGGTGGCAGATGCAATGGCACAGGTGGTGCTAAGAGAGGTTGACTTGCCAGGGACGAAAGCTCTCTAAGGAAGAAGCAGGAATGAAGTGTGAATCGGGAGATGATTTCAGAAAGAAGGTCTGGTTTAGAGATCTGTGATGTGGAAGAGTTGCTTTCAAACCCACTAAAGAGTCACCTTCCCTTCTGGGCAAATTCCTGGGGGCCATGTTCCCAGGGTGGGCAGGGCCAGAGGGAAATGTGGGCAGAGCAGCAAACATGAATTTTACTTTTGTACAGTAGGCTAGTTTCTCTCCGTGCTACCACATCCCTCTCTGCCCACCATCCAAACAAGCAAGAACCATTGTCAGAATTGAAGAAAACATTCCAGCCAGGCATAATACCTTAAGGAGGATGCAAAGTAAGTGAGTTGCTGGGGAGGGTGTGTGGCCTGGAAAGGAGTCCCGAAGGCCAAGCAGAGTGCCTGGAGGACCCCATTTGGCCTTTGGGCCTTACTCTCCTCACCCCTGCTTTAACTGCGGCCCGACACACTGACATAGAATAATAGAACTGTGGAGTTGGAAGGGACCACGAGGATCATCTAGCCCACCCCCTGCAATGCAGGAATCTTTCGCCCAACACGGAAGCAGGCAAGCCTTTCTGCATCACTGCACCTCCCTAGCAGGGGAAACGTCAACAGCTAAATGTTTACAGGTGTTCAGCTGCTGTTGAAAGACACAGGGCCAGTTAAAAACCCAGGCAATTCTAGGAACATTGGAGATTGGCCTTGCTGCTGGGAACAGCTCATAGGGGGAACCGATGTTATTGGACTACAGCCTCCCATCATTCCTGACCCTTGAGCATACCAGCTGGGGCTGATGGGAGCTGGAGTCCAACAACTGGAAGGCACCACACTGGCTGCCCCACCTAAAGGCCCCATTTAACACCCTCACCTATTGAGCCGCACCTGAAGTTGGTGTGTGTCATGCAAATGACGTGGTGTCCCTTCCTCTCTCTCTCTGCTGCAGATAATAGGAAACCCTTTGAGTGTGCCAACTCATCGGTGCCCAGCCATTCCTTTTATCTGAATCATGCTCAAGCACCTACGCTTCCAGAGAGCAGGGATCAGGAAACCTGCCTGGCTAGTGTGTTTGGGAAAGATTCCAGTCAGCTGGATGTGCTTGTTGCTCAGTGGCAAGCTTCTACAGTGGGAATTAAGCACTTTAAAAAAAGTCTTCTTTTGCCCTGAGCTCTCGAGGGCAGAAGACACACCACTTTCTTCCAGCAGAGCTTCAGCACATCAGCACAAAGGTGCCTGACCTTATTCTCATGCTGGGGAGAGTGTGATTCCTGCAGACCATCCCTCCAGTCTCCTCTGCCCCACACGTATTATCCAACCCCTTTAATCCCATCCCAGAGGCGTTGTCCCCAGATAGCTTCCTCCTCCTCCTCAGTTACACAGGGCCTGGTACTAAACTGCCCAGATTGGATTTTGAATCGCACTCCAGGAAGATCAATTTCTCCCTTGTGTGTTTCTGCCTCTCTTGTTGCTAGTGCTCTTCCATTGCCATGTCCTACAGGCAGGCCCCTGCATACAATCATGGAATGGGAAGGAATCCCCACAGTTTTCCAATCCTCCTCCTGGCCCCAATGTAGGACCTCTTCAGCAGATGTCTTTCCATTCGTCGCTGCCCCCCCCCCGCCTTAACCACAGCCTCCTCTTGCCAGCTTATTTAGCTACTGTACTCCTCTGTAACTGGACACGAATCTATTATTTTTATAGTCTGAAGCAGGTGTAGACAAACTCAGCCCTCCAGATGTTTTGGGACTACAACTCCCATCATCCCTAGCTGACAGGACCAGTGGTCAGGGATGATGGGAGTTGTAGTCCCAAAACATCTGGAGGGCCAAGTTTGCCTATGCCTGGTCTTAAGGCAGGGAAGGAGGAATATTAAAGACTTACTCAAATTTCTGGGCACAGTCTGCACCGGGGATGGAATGTAAGGGTGTTCTCCTGTTCCTATACTTCAGGTCTGTGGAAACTAGGACTCTCCAGATATTTGTGGACTACAACTCCCATCAGCTCCTTTGGGTCCCTTCCAACTCTACAGTTCTATGCGGACTGCTCACGCTGCCTGAGCGGATGAGCATCCTGGAGGGCCACAGGTTCTCGTCTTGCTTTTCTCAAAACAGCCTCAGACTGGGTGAGGGAGAGAATTGCTGTGGCAGCCAGGGATGCATCTATCCATGACTACTGCCATGTTTCAATGGTATTGATAGGAACCCAGCTGCCTCAGACAGAAGACATTTGCAATATCTATCTGCAGATCTCAGGACTGAAACTGGGACCTTCTGCATACAAAGGAAGTGCTCTGCCATTGACCTACTGCCCTCCCTGTAGTTCATATGCGGCAGTGGAAGTGCTGGTCACATCCGCACCATGCATTTAAAGCATAGTGTTTCTTTGTCACAGACCTACAGCACCCTTACTCTTAAAGTGGCACAAGAGAGCTTTAAATGGGTGGTGCAGATGTGATCTCCGTCTCCCCGTTTGACTAATGCTACCAACACAAAATTATACCCAGTGATGGTGCATTTATATAATGTTAGATTCTGGACTTAATGGTCTTAGGGGGTGCGGGCGGGGCTTTTTAGATGGCAATGCGCATTACTGTCACTTCAAAATGTAGGAAAGCCAACCCTGGTGCATCTGGAGGTCTTCCTGCACATTCTGCTGAGTGGGACCCTGGATTTCTTGACCACATCCTGCGATGATTTCACTGCTAATTATTATGCTCACTAATCCTGAAGAACTGCCACACCCCAGTTCTATATGCACGGGAATCCCTACAGCATCTCTAAAATGTACTAAAAACAAGTGGTGGGAGTGTTAAGGAGTATAGTTTCGTTACAATTCACTAACTGCACTTTACAAGTTTGTTATTTATTTTTATTTTATCTAATCTAAGGTAGATATAAAGGCAAAGGGTGCTACTTTTCCAGAAGGGTCAGGTGCAAATTAAGGGGAACAGCAATTTATTTGGAAAGCTAGTTCAATTCTGAACTGAAAGCACACTCTGCACATGCTCATGTCTCCTGTTCATTCGTTTTCTTTATGTGGCTGCCATCAGTGAAAAATAATAACATGTATAAGAAAAGTAATAAAAATGTGAAACGACGTATTCTTGATACTGTAGAACGTGCATACTTTCCTTACCCACTGGTTATACAAGTTATGCTGGTTGAATCTGTATTTTGCTACACTGAAAGCTAATAAAAATATGGGGGGGGGTGTTATGTGGCTGGTAAAATTTGGTGTCCCAACAAATCTGGAGAGATCCCGTGTTCACTAATTCCCTTGTTAAAAGCAAAGAAACAAAACAAACAATTATTTTCTCAAATGACACTAGGCCTTTGAACAGTGTTTGGATGGATCATGTCCATCACAGACACTTTCCTTTGGATAATGTTTAAAAGGAAAATGCTTCCCTCTGGGGAAGACAACTCTGCATATGCTTTGAAGCACCTGGCTCGAAGTGGTCGGGCTTTTTGTCCCCCCCCCCCGTAATTTTTTAACACAACAGCTGACAGCTCTACTCACCAGATCAGGATGAGGAGAGCATGACAAATTGATGGGGTGGTGGTGGTGCACACGCGGTCAGGCCCAGCTGTGGCACTGAAGACCCACGACTGGGAGTCCTCACAAGAACAGTTAAAGACTGCCTAGTTCATACTTTTCTGTTATGACGGGTAAAGGAAGTGAAGTGGTGAGTGCCGCCCCCCACATCTGCCCTGGAAATTCCCCCAAACAGGCTTCATCTTACATCCTCTCTCTTCTCTCCCCCCACCAACTTTTCCCCCTTTTGCTAAATGAGTCACCCTTTCAGAGTCTCAACATGTTCACGGCCGCGACCAAGAGGAAGAAGCAAAGAGGGGTGCGTACGTTTGGCAATCTGGGCTTCCCAAAGCTCCTCTTTTAGTTTCGGTGTCCAAGGGCTTTGAAACGTTGTCCAAATAATTTCGGCTCCCCAACTGTATGTGTCTTTATACTCTAGTCGGGCTGAAGTGAGCATGACGTGAGTGTAAAACAAGGCTGCCACCCCTCCCTTCTGTCTCCCTGGTCATGGTAGCTCCCAGCTTCAGAGGCCAGACTAGGCAGGGACTGTACAATAGTTGGAACTCTCTTTGCAATATCAGCTGCTGCTGTTGCTGCAACTGGACAAGGGGGGGACGGGGTTGATTTATGCTGGTGGTGTTTTTAAATATATATTTTAATATATATATAGCCCTTGATTTGCTTTCAGTCTCCCTGGCTGCAAAATATTGCCCCCCCCCCCGCTTTCAAATTCCAGCAGCACTGAGGGATTTTTTTATTTGAAGGAGGGGGGGCTTCCTCCCCAATATTGTTGCATTCGGAGAAGATAATTTTATGAGTCTATTTGCGGGAAGCAAGTTTGTTGGATATTCTCTCTCCACCCTCCACACGCCCGGAAACTGTGGTGGAAGCTGGAATCATCTTGAAGAAGGAGGAGGAGGCGGAGGAGGAATGAAAAAAAGAGGAAGGGCTTGATTTATTTTTGTTTCTAATAGGATTATATGTTTTATTTCTGCTTTACTTTAGAAATTAGAGGATCGGGAGGGAGGGATTAATAAGAACCCGGAGAGAAAGACAAGGTGGGGGAGGGAAATCACACCCATCCTATCCATCACCTCCTCAAAAAAAAAAAACAAAAACCACAGAAGCCACCATGGAGAAGAAGGAAGAGGCAGCAAAGGCCTTTTCGGTGAAGCAACAGCCGGATGATATCCGAGGTAAATATTTGCTCTGCTAAGAAGTCATTTTTAGAGGATGATGTTGCAAATTGTTGAAAGGGCGGCGGAGCGGGGCGGGGGCAGAGGAGGAAAGAGACAACAGACTTTGAATCTGTGTCCGGATTTCCACCCAGATCTGCGAGTGGGCACAGATAAGGGGGTCTGGGGGGGTCTGTTTGCTGCAGCAAGTTGTAGAACATTCGTTCTCTTAATTGTTCTCCCCCCTTTCCAAAAACATGAACTCATCGCCTGGCTATTTTGTCTGTGCGGCTGGCTGTGCCTGATGGACATTTGCTACAGGGGCCTTTTGGGGAGGGGGGAGTCGGGGGTGCTGGATGGATGTGAAGAAGGATACAGTACTGATTCTTTAACTAGGATTCCTTATCCCCCATGCAGGGAAGGGAGCATTTTGGGAGGGGGGCCGGTTGGAGGCCACGTTGCTGTGATATTGAGGCAGGGGGTGCCCGGCCTTCCACAGGTCACTGATGTGGGGTTTATAAATAACCCTCTGTCCGAAGCCCTACCCAACCCCGGATTGGCATTCCTCCCGACAGCTGCCTTTGGGAGGCGACCAAGCCCTCGAGGAGACCACCTGCCCCTTTCTTCTGACTTTGTGAGTGGGGGAGGTCAACCCCTGGTTGCTGTTGAGAAAAAAGAAAAGCCGATCCAAGTTCAAACTAGCCGAATTTGAAGGTGTCCAGGGCCAGGACCCGGGGGTGGCCACGGAAAGGGCTCCGCCGTGGGCCTAGTTCTGCTCTTGCTTGTGCGACTGGGGTTTTTCTGAGAGGGTGGACTCGGGAGGGAAGGGGGGCAGGGCCCAGCCCCACAATGGATTAAACTTCCCTGCCGCTTGGAGGGAAAAGTTGGGGGCTGGCTCTCCAATTAAAGGGTCATTTTTTTGTCCCTGGGGAACGTTTTGAGATGGAACTCTTGGTCCTCTGCCAGTGAAGTTTGTCGGAATCTCAGCATCTTGCCAGTTGTATGTGTGTGCAGTCAAACAGAGAGAGATAATCTTTGCCATTTTCCCGCTAGACACCAGATATCTGCTTGTCTGCAAGGGCAACATCCTGTCTCTGTTGTACAGCCTGGAAATTTTTGCCGGCACACATGTGGATGGGCTGTGTTGGCTAGAATTTGGACAGGACGTTTTGTGTGCTTGTGTGTGTATGTGTTTGCTTCATTTGTAGAGAATTTGCTTTCTGGGTTTCTTTTTGGAGTTCTGCTTTGTTTTTTTGTTTTTTTGTCCAGAACTCTTTAAAGGCCTGCTTTCTGAAATCATCTGCAGCTTGGGGCTTAAAGTTCCTTTGAAAACTTCAGGGCTTGGCCATTTCCTTTGTCCTCGGTTTCGGAGACAGGCTTTAGAAGATGACAGCAAATAAGCAGAGTCCAGTGTTAAGGATCTCAGGAATCAATAGGTTCGCCTTGCAACTTACTTTGAACTGCTAAGGTTTGAAGTTCTTGGTTATGCCTTTTGTCAGAAGCTTGTGGGGCTACTAATATCTCCCACCCCCCGGGATGGAAAATTGAGCTAAAGTGGAACCATCTCTTCTCGACTGGCAAACTTTGGTTTTGTTCTCTGAACGTTGGGAAAGTGAGATTGTTACTTTGGTGTAGTTACGCAGTGGGTAATCTTGCCAAATGAAATGTAGGCTGGAAGTAACGTGGGGGTTGTTCAGAAGGGCATGTAATTGGCAAATGCTGGGTTAAGTAGGGAGAGGTGTGGCTGCCTTCTGAGGACTCTATAGCATGGCTGGGACCTGGCCAGATGAAGCAGTGTCTGTGAGTTGTCTTATTTTGGGTTTTGCTGACTCCTGCCAAGTAACTGGTGACTTGAGTGCAAGGAAGAAACAACCGAAAAGAAAGAGGAGTGCCAAAACCATAGGGATATGGGGGACTTCCTATCATCACTCACTGCCAGTGATGGCATTGAGTGTGTTGTAGGCAGTGAGTGGTGCATTTACTGGAAAGCACCGGAGGTTTTACATGGGGAAGTAGGAAGGCTTGGGTAAGAGAAGGTGTTTAGGTTTTGGGGCTGGGGTAGCCCAGAGGTGATGCAGAAAGAGACAAAGGCACAGGGAATTACCTGATACTGAGTCAGACCATTGGTTTATTTAGCTCAGTATTATTGTCTACACTGAATGGCAGTGGCTTCCCAAGGTTTCAGGCGGGGTTCTCTCTTGGTCCTCCCTGGAGATGCCAGAGATTTGACCTGGGACCTTCTGCATGCAAAGCAGATGCTCTGAGAATGCAGATGTGTGGAAATCAATTTGAACAAAATCCCAGTTTTTTGAGCTAGGCCAACAGGCTTGACTGGATGAGGTTGGATTCATATATATTTTTTTTTTTAGGTTTGGAAAGGTCTGGCCCAAATTTTCAGGCTTCTAAAGTGTGTACTTGGGGAGAAGCAATGGGAAGTAGCTCCCTATTTCTGAGGTATGGAGGTGGAAGAAGCCACTCCCACCCCCCAAGTTGCTACTTCCCATAGAAACCTCACAGGGGATCTGGAGCCAGACTTAACTGCACACTGTGGGATTTAAAATGTCTGGAAACATGCAGGCAAAGGCTGGAATATGAACAGCATAAAGGCCGCAAGGAAATGTGGCCTGGTGGTGCTTTCCCCCTCCCTTCCCCCTCTCCTAAGAGGCTGCTTGACAGGAGGCCCCCTTGGTGCTAATTTGATTCTCTCTCAAGTGCCTGGAGATCATTTCCATGCCCTTGGAGAGACCTCTCAGTCGTTTGCACCATTCCAAGCTATGGGGCAGGCGAACTCTGCGTTGCTGTATTCTGGGCCTGAATTGTGGGCCTGTGTGTGGGCCATGCAGGATCTTGCCCCTATAGTATGACTTGTAGTTGTCTTAAGCAATGTGGGCTGTGTGTTGGTGATGGATGGTATATATGAAGGGAAGCTCATAGCCTCCAATATCCTGCAGCGTGATCATGGGGTCATGCTTGTTGACATGTTGAGGATAACACTTTCCTCTGCCTGCTCCTTACGTTGTTTCCTATGCAGCAGCTTATCTTCCATGGATCTGAAAGCCAAGGCAGTGCTTAAAGATAGGATAGAAAACCATAATTGCCCTACAGTAGGTTTTCAACAGTTCAGAGGATCTCAGCATCTATAGTGTATGAAATGGAGGATTTTGTACCACGTCCGCATGATGCATTTTAATGTTTGTGCGCAGGATTCTCTGTGCATGTGCACTAGGGATGAGATAGCTCAGTGGTAGAGCTTCTGCTTTGCACGGAGACGGTCCCAGGTTCAATCCCTGGCATCTTCAGGTACTATTGGGAAAAACTCCAGTAGAACTGTTGCCAAGTCATTGCAGACAATACTGCTGTGGTTCAACCATAGAGCATATGCTTTATATACCAAAGGTCCCAAGTTCAGGCCCCAGCATCTGAACCTCTGTCTGAAACCATGGAAAGCTGCCACTAGATCAGGGGTGGTGAACTACCGGTATTTTCAGCCTGAGGACCACATTCTCTCCTGGGCTACCTTCTGGGTGCCACATGTGAGCCCAGAGGCAAAAAATGGATGGAACAGATCACGTGTTTCCCAAACTTTGGCCTCTCCAGCTATTTTGGAACTACAATTCCCATCATCCCTGACCACTGGTGCTGCTAGCTAGGGGTGATGGGAGTTGTAGTTGTAGTCCAAAACAGCTGGAGAAATACTGATGTAAATGTCACAAACCCCTCTCAATTCTCCATCTATGCATTCAAAGACATTTCAGCTAGGCAGAAACAATCCAGCAGGGCTGATGAGGCACGTGACCATTGGGAGAATTTTGAGGGCCAGGTGGAGAGACCTGAAGGGCCACATTTGCCCCCTAGATCTGAGGTTCCCCATCCCTGGTGCAGACAATACTGAGCGAGGTGAAACTGTGGCCTGGCAGAGTCTGTATTAGGTTGATAGGTTCCTCTCTCTCTCTCTCTCTCTCTCTCTCTCTCTCTCTCTCTCCCTCTCTCTGCCTCTTCCAAACTAGATGAGATGCCATTAACAGAACTATCAATTGCACGAATGACTTTTAAAAAGTAAGCAGCAAACATTGAGCTGGGGGTGAAATCTAATCTGGACTTCAGCAGGGACCAAAGGGTTAAAGCCCCCGCCCCATCCCACAACTGAGCTTCAATCACGATTGGGACCCCACAGCTGCAATGTGCTCGCAGGCCATTTGTGAAATTGCTTGTTGGCATAGCATCTCATCTGTGTTGCTGCTTATCAGTTCCCCCTATTTTGTGTGAGCTGTGGCTCCAGCCCCTTATGCAGCCGCAAATCATGGTTGACATTGCCTGTTTTAATGTGTTAATACTTTCAAAACTGAATTGTTTATCAGGAATGTTGTATGATGTTTTGAATTGATCTCACCTCCCTTGACAAGTCGGCCTGGGTGATTTTTTCATGCTTCACATTTTTAGCTCAGTGCTCAAGGTAGACAACCAGCCTTTGCTCTAGTCTCAGCCTGGCCAAAACCTTATTGATCCCCCTCGCCATATTAGAAGTTTAGAAAAAGTAAATACAAGGTGAACAGAGATTGCTGGTGGGGGATGGGGAGACTGAAGTGTGGGATAAGACATTTCCCACGATAGGCTTCCCTGCATAAAGCAGGGGTGGAGAACCTGTGGCCCTCCAGGTGTTCTTGGACTGTATCTGCGGTCACCCATTCTGACTGAGACTGATGGGAGCTGGAGTCCACCCCCATCTGGAGGGCCACAGGCTTCCCACCCATCTACCCACCTCTGCAGTAAGATATCCAGTGGAAAAGGCTATTCCACAGGCCTGAGGATGAGCCTTGTGGGCCTCTTGGTTGGGTCTTGTATTCAGCAGCACTCCAACCAAATAGGTGCTCCATTTCCACACTACCCCAGCTGAAGCAACTCATTTATTGCTCCTTGATTTCCAGACCAGGGCTGGAGTCATATGGTGGTGTGTGTGTGCAAGGATTAGAACTGCTGAAGATGCTCCATTACTGACCTAAAGCCCTTCCTCCAGCCTAGCA